TAAGTCATAAAGGGCTGGATACTGTCCCATAAAATAATAATATAGAAAGAAAAAAAATGTACTATAAGAGAATTAAATTCATGCTTCAGTGGAGAACGGAAAGAGATGTTTTCTTAGTAAATGTATAGGAAGGACAAAGGTCCAAATTTTCATGGCTTGTGCACCAAAAATTCCCTGTCTGCTCTGGCAGCTGTGTGGGGAAGGCACTCTGTGGGCCAGCCCTGCCTTTGCACTTACAGCTTTCTGACCACGGCATCTGAGACGGAGCTTTTCTTCCTTCCTCCTTCTCCCCCATACCAACACAGAGCACAGAAAGCCAGGAATTCCTGTCCCTGCTCCTGAGTAAGGCAGCCAGGTGGGATTCTTGTGTATTTATCACCTTGTCATCTCCTTCTCCTGTTTTAAATGCTCTGATTCCCCGTCCTCTTTTTGGCCTGCTGTAACAAGAGCCTTTTTTTGGATTCATCATGCTATGGAGAGCAAGCAGGAATTGCTAGAAAGCCTGTCTCAGAGGCAATGTTGTTGTTCTGGCCATATTCCTTGGGTCTAGGGAATGACATGTCCTGATTTACTTCTAAATTCAAAATACAGGTATGTGATTTAAAAAAAAAAAAAAAGAGGCTTTCAACTCATAGCAAAACCAGCTCTTGTCACAAACTGTGGCCCTGATTATTTTTTCTTATGGCATTTCTGGGGCAGCACACTTTGTATTGTCTAGTTAAGACTTTTCCAGCAACCAAAACACGCATACTTGTGTGCGCTTACAGAGTAACATACATTATTAGTCATTATGAGTCACAATGGAGCTCTAATACGGTAAACGATACATGAGAACGGTCTGTCAGCTTTTATGGTTATACTGGAAATGCAAAGGGTAGCGCAGAAATACACTTGGTGCATGTGTAATGCTAGGCATGTTTAGTCAGTTCGTTTGTTTAATATTAGTCCATTCATTTATCTGGTGAAGTATTCTTGCCCCAGGTCATTGCTGAATCCCAGATATTTCCTGCAAAAAGAGCACAGCTTGAAAATTTGTTTCGTCTATACGAAAGGGTTCTGAATCCAAAAACAGATAATGCAGAGTATGTAATCGTAACGCAAGCGTTAAGTGTTAAAATTGCTGGTTGGATTGAGATACATGAATATATTTTCCTGGAATGGGCTGGGCAGTACCATGTAGTTCTTCCTAAGTTGCAAATGTACTTGTTTCCAATTGTCATTTCTGTTGGCACACCTCGGTGCATGTAAGTGACCCCTCCAAATATTTGCATACCGATAGCTATTTTCCTACAATACACTCTAATAATGATGGTACCCTATTACCTGCTATCTGCTAGTGCAAAATTAACAATCCATTATGCACAATAAGTTTTATAAAACATTTACAGATCGAGATCATGTTTAATTAAAATTAACTTGCTTATGAAAGCCAAATGCACTTATGATTCACAATGACCTTTTATTACCTGCAGTCCCTTGTTTTGGCTGGATGATTGACAGCTTGCTGTTTGGCTACCATGTTGTATTTCAGCTGACAAGACTTTTCATTTTAACTCAATTTGCCTGCCTATCACAAGCTGGTGGCAGGCCAGGCTCAAGTCACCCAGCTTTGCCTCAGCAGCTTGCTCTATTTCTCATTAGTACGCATTTATTCAGTGGAAATTGGAAGACAAATGCTTGAAGGCATGTGAACTAAGTATAGCAAATTAGGGTTTAAAGACTGAATATTTATAAGTATATTGAAACAGTTTTTTAAAAAAAAATCTAGAATGAATTGGAGGCTGAGTGCTAGCTTTAGTATAAGAGAAATGAAGAGAGAAGTGGGAGGATTCTAAGAATAACAATACTATGAGATATTTCTCTCTCTCTCTCTCTCTAGAAAATATGTAAAATCTCTCTGACAACACCTTATCAAACAACAGCCTGGCTTCTTTATGTGGCGCTTGTACAGCGAAGTTTAGCATCTCATGTGTGTAAGAAGGGGGAAAAAATGAGGGTCATGTTCATTTGCTGCTTGGTTATCCCTTGGTATGCTTTAAATTGCCTTGTTTGTTCGGCACAAGCACAGAAACAGATGTTGCTCTACCGTGCTGGATAATTTACTGTACCTCATGGTGCAGAATGGAAGGCCTCCCAAGCTACCCAGCTGGTCTGTCAGCAGCAATGGCTGGTGTCTGCTGAACTATGACAACTGCAAGCAAAGGCTGCGGCGTTATTGTGCAGTTGTCATTCCTCCCAACGTATAGCTTGGGCATTTGGGGAAGGCTGACTGTCTATTTTTTTAATGTTAGCCTGCAAACCCGTATAAGCTCCATCCTCCTTTGTTGATCATAATGTGACTCATTACTTTTGTCATCTAATGATTATCGGCATGATCGCTCAGAGCTAGAGCCAAGCTTGCCTTCCACACATAGCTGGTACTGGAAGGTAAAGCAGATTTGTCATTTACGATCTGACCGCTAAGCCACACTTTGTGCTCCATTATTGTGATTAACTTCTGCATAAGATACGCTGCCCAATTGTCAGCTGCGATCCGGCAGCGGGCACCGACTGCCGCGCTCCCCGGGAGGATGGCCCCCGATAGGATGTGACCGCGTCACTCGTCCAGCTAAACGCACACCCGCTACTGTGCAGCGGTGTTTTACTAATTATTTATCCTTTCTTGCTCTCCCCAGCCCCCACCCGATTTGATTTCTTGGGTGAACGGTGCTGCATGTACATCGCCACCATTCCCAAGCCAGAGTTAGGGGCTTTGTTTTTTTGGAGGCTGGGGGCAGTCTGGGAGCAGAGGCTGGACCCTCCCTTTGTACCGCGCAAAGTTTTGTTGCCAGAGCGCTGCCAGTTGAAATCTATCGTGTCAGGTGCCTTGTGGCTATCCGCAGTAGAGGCCATATTCTGGAACCGGGGTTCTTCTCTGGCTTCGTCACCAACAAGCCGATTTGACTCTGCCTGATTATAGTAACGAAGGCAGTCCAAAAGAATATGCACAGACTCACTGTACGTCACATTGAATCACAGCGCTGGCCACACAGAGCTGACCGCAGCCTCATTTCTTTAGACAAATGCATGCTTAAGGAAAAACCTCCTGCAAGAAAGCATCCAGGGCCACTTTATTTGCTATGCATGCTGCACCAGATTTAATTTTTTGTGAAAGAGCGGTTGTTATTATTTTTTTCAGATGCATCTACACTGGGTAGCTACTGTCTCTAATAAACCAACCTTTTGGGTGCAGCAGTTACAGTGCTTCGGTGAGCAGGCTTATTTGGTATCACAAAACATACATACAGGCACAAATGGATTATTATATGAAAATGAAACCCGATTTTAGGCTGTTTTTCACACTGGCGATTAGAAGGAATCAGGCCACATATAACAGCACCCATACACGCTGGTGGAAAAATAGTCAGTTTTGATTACAAAGTGAGAGATGCAGCCCTAGACAGGAGCTACATGCTGATATACATGCTATCAGAATGATTTATGCAAATTATGCATATTATTCCCAAAGGAATTCCTCCTCAAACTGCCAGGATAAATTGCCGGAAATTAGCCATAAAATCTGTCGTGCTAGGAGCAAAAGGTGAAGGCCACTGGGAAAGCAAGGACATTCAGCTTCTGGAGCCTTCCAGGACGTGATGGTGGAGAAAAAATCATGCTTCCCCTAGTACTGAAAGGACTACATTTTGTTTTCTCTTTGCAATTAAAAGTGTCTTTCTCTCTTAAATCTACCAGGCAAATAATGAATTGTTTTCATTCACTTGGACCATAATAGACATTATCGTTTGGCAATGTAGCTCATTGAAAACAAAATAAATTTAAAAATCCTCAGCCTGACTGCGGAATTAACAAGTGAAATGTTTTTTCTAACGTGTAGCCCTGACGCTATATCCACCAGCTTTTGAAAGGCAAGCCGAGTAGCTCCGTGGATGCTTTCACTGGTATTTACTTGCAACCTCCGAAATATATGTAAATGCATAAAGCATTCATGTTTTCTGATTGCGTTGTTTTCAACGTGATGCCTGAATAATGACTTTCCACCCAAAATCCAGGGCTGCCTCCAGCCGACACGATTTCCCAGAACTATCAGCGAGAATCACATCGCAGTGCTCAGAGCAGCGGCCCCCCGCCCTGCGGGACTGTT